AGGCCAGTCAATCTGGAAGCTGAGATGCCATAGGTTCAGGCTGTTTAACACTTAGAGACAGATTGTTAAAGACACCTTAGACACCAACCCCCCAAAAAAAGACAAGGGTGGAGGAGAGTGGGCCAGAGGCAGAAGGGTCATTGGTTTATACAGGTCGAAGAGTTATATCTCTTTCTGCTCTCTCTCTCTGCTCTATCAATTAAATTAAATTAAATGGAATTTAAGGGCTTTATTGGCATGGGAAACATATGTTTACATTGCCAAAGCAAGTGAAATAGATAATAAACAAACGTTTTTTTTTAATTATTGTTAACAGTAAACATTACATTCAGAAGTTCCAAAAGAATAAAGACATTTCAAATGTCATATTATGTCTATATACAGTGTTGTAACAATGTGCAAATAGTTAAAGTACAAATGGGAAAATAAATAAACATAAATATGGGTTGTATTTACAATAGTTTGTTCTTCACTGGTTGCCCTTTTCTTGTGGCAACAGGTCACAAATCTTGCTGCTGTGATGGCACACTGTGGTTTTTCACCCAGTAGATAAGGGAGTTTATCAAAATTGGATTTGTTTTCGAATTCTTTGTGGATCGCTGTAATCTGAGGGAAATATGTGTCTCTAATATGGTCATTCATTGGGAAGGAGGTTAGGAAGTGCAGCTCAGTTTCCACCTCCTTTTGTGGGCAGTGTGCACATAGCCTGTCTTCTCTTGAGAGCCAGGTCTGCCTACGGCAGCCTTTCTCAATAGCAAGGCTATGCTCACTGAGTCTGTACATAGTCAAAGCTTTCCTTACTTTTGGGTCAGTCACAGTGGTCAGGTATTCTGCCACTGTGTACTCTCTGTTTAGGGCCAAATAGCATTCTAGTTTGCTCTGTTCTTTCCAATGTGCCAAGTAATTATTGTTTTCTCATGATTTGGTTGGGTCTAATTGTGTTGCTTTCCCAGGGCTGTGTGGGATCTGTTTGTGTTTGTGAACAGAGCCCCAGGACCAGTTTACTTAGGGGACTCTTCTCCAGGTTCATCTCTCTGTGGGTGATGGCTTTGTTATGGAAGGTTTGGGAATCCCTTCCTTTTAGGTGGTTGTAGAATTTAACGTCTCTTAACATGATTTTGATCATTAGCAGGTATCGGCCTAATTCTGCTCTTGGTGTTTTACGTTGTACACAGAGGATATTTCAATCTGGTGTTTGTTACATTTTGTGAATTCTTCCTTGGTGAGCGGACCCCAGACCTCACAACCATAGAGTGCAATGGGTTCTATAACTGAATCAAGTATTTTTAGCCAGATCCTAATTGGTGTGTTGAATTTTATGTTCCTTTCTGGACCCTCTCTCTCCATCTCTCTCTGCTCTCTCTCTCTCTCTCTCTCTCTCCCTCTCTCTCTCTCCCTCCTCTCTCTCTCTCTCTCTCTCTCTCCCTCTCTCTCTCTCTCTCCTCTTTCTCCCCCCTCTTTCTGCTCTCTCTCTCCCTCCCCCACTCTCTCACTCTCTCTGTTCTCTCTCTCTCTGCTCTCTCTCCCCCTCTCTCTCTCTGTAGGACAGTTGGTTATGATGACATCATTGTATATGTCAGTAGAGTGGATCTCTTAGAGGGTCATTGGTTCTGGAACATTCTGGAACATATCAGGTCACTGCTTTCCACCTCACCAAGAGGAATATATAAACAATAGAACCAGAGGTTGGACAGAGTACTGAGATATATTTACAAGATATATGAAGTATGAATTATTTAAGATAAACACCACCGGTGCAAAACCAAATGTCTTCGTAATGGTGACTCAGTGTAGTCTGATGTGGTTCTCTTTCTGGGTATTAGTAAAGGTTCAATCTAGCCTAGTGAGAGGAGGGGACCCTCAGTCAGAACACATAGACAACCTGTGGGTGAAACTCCAGTCAGGATTCAAGAGGAGATGTCACTAAGTGGTACATGAAACATGAAAGGGAAGTAACACAGCAACCTACCCCTCTCTCCTCCTCATCTTCTCCTCTCAATTCCTCTCATTCTCTCCCCCTCGTCTCTCTCATCTCTCCCTCTCTCACTCTCTCTCTCCTCTCGCTCTCTCATCTCTCTCTCCTCTCTACTCTCTCTCTATCTCTCTCCTCTCTCATCGGTCTCTCTCGCTCTCTCTCTCTCTCTCTCTCTCTCTCTCTCCTCTCCTGGACTCCCCCCCTGGGTACTCACTTTCTCTCCACCTGGTCCATATAATCTGGGAGGCCCTCAGTGTTGGGGTATCCTGGGCCCTGACCCTCCTGCTGACCACCCAGCCTGTCCATCTCCTGTCTGAGTGCTGCTAGCTCCATTCCCCGGGAGGACAGCTCTGTCTGGAGCAGGCAGATCTCTCTCTCAGCCAGCCTCACGGTCTCCGTGTCTCCTGCCAGCTGGGAGTTAGACATGGACAGCTCTACCGCCTCCAACCAGGCTTCGATACTACCCAGGGCCTGGAGGAGCTGCACTCTCTGGGAGGAGAGGGGAGAGAAGAACTGCAGGGTCAACATCGGTCTAGAATAAGGGTTAGGGTCAGAGCTGTACTGTCTGGGAGGAGAGGTTAACTGCAGGGTCATCATGAATCTGTCGCTCTCGTCCACCTTTCCCGAACCCTAACTCTCGTCCACCTTTCCCTAACTCTAACTCTCTTACACCTTTCCCTAACCCTAACTCTCGTCCACCTTTCCCTAACCCTAACTCTCGTCCACCTTTCCCTAACCCTAACTCTCGTCCACCTTTCCCTAACCCTAACTCTCGTCCACCTTTCCCTAACCCTAACTCTCATCCACCTTTCCCTAACCCTAACTCTCTTACACCTTTCCCTAACCCTAACTCTCGTCCACCTTTCCCTAACCCTAACTCTCGTCCACCTTTCCCTAACCCTAACTCTCGTCCACCTTTCCCTAACCCTAACTCTCATCCACCTTTCCTTCCCTCTCATCCACCTTTCCCTAACCCTAACTCTCTTACACCTTTCCCTAACCCTAACTCTCGTCCACCTTTCCCTAACCCTAACTCTCATCCACCTTTCCCTAACCCTAACTCTCTTACACCTTTCCCTAACCCTAACTCCCGTCCACCTTTCCCTAACCCTAACTCTCCGTCCACCTTTCCCTAACCCTAACTCTCGTCCACCTTTCCCTAACCCTAACTCTCGTCCACCTTTCCCTAACACTAACTCTCGCCCACCTTTCCCTAACCCTAACTCTCGTCCACCTTTCCCTAACCCTAACTCTCGTCCACCTTTCCCTAACCCTAACTCTCGTCCACCTTTCCCTAACCCTAACTCTCGTCCACCTTTCCCTAACCCTAACTCTCGTCCACCTTTCCCTAACCCTAACTCTCGTCCACCTTTCCCTAACCCTAACTCTCGTCCACCTTTCCCTAACCCTAACTCTCGTCCACCTTTCCCTAACCCTAACCCTAACTCTCGTCCACCTTTCCCTAACCCTAACTCTCGTCCACCTTTCCCTAACCCTAACTCTCGTCCACCTTTCCCTAACCCTAACTCTCTTACACCTTTCAAACCAAGACGATTTTTTACTTTAGCATCCCTCCATTTTTTTGCTGACTTTTCTTAAAACCAAATAGTAGTATTTTACTAGGTGATTTTAATTTTCATCATTTTCTATTAAGGTATCTTTACTTTTACTCAATTATGAAATTTGGGAACTTTTTCCAACACTGCATTTGGAACAATAGCCAACCTGCGTGTGGTAAACTATTGAAGCACCGTTTCGGGTTGCTTTGAGACAAGCGTAGGGACTCGTCTTCATAAATCAATGTCAGATTTTTATTTTCACTGAATATTGATGTACAGGGGCCAATAAAGAAATAAGCTGGCTGAATCCACACTGACTGGCCCTAAACAATGTAGTCTAAACTGGCCCACTGAACACTGTGGTGTAAACTGGCCCACTGAACACTGTGGTGTAAACTGGCCCACTGAACACTGTGGTCTAAACTGGCCCACTGAACAATGTGGTCTAAACTGACCCACTGAACACTGTGGTCTAAACTGGCACACTGAATACTGTGGTGTAAACTGGCCCACTGAACACTGTGGTGTAAACTGGCCCACTGAACACTGTGGTCTAAACTGGCCCACTGAACACTGTGGTGTAAACTGGCCCACTGAACACTGTGGTCTAAACTGGCCCACTGAACACTGTGGTCTAAACTGGCCCACTGAACACTGTGGTGTAAACTGGCCCACTGAATACTGTGGTCTAAACTGGCCCACTGAACACTGTGGTGTAAACTGGCCCACTGAACACTGTGGTCTAAACTGGCCCACTGAATACTGTGGTGTAAACTGGCCCACTGAACACTGTGGTGTAAACTGGCCCACTGAACACTGTGGTGTAAACTGGCCCACTGAACACTGTGGTGTAAACTGGCCCACTGAACACTGTGGTGTAAACTGGCCCACTGAACACTGTGGTGTAAACTGGCCCTGAACGTGGTAAACTGGCCCACTGAACACTGTGGTGTAAACTGGCCCACTGAACACTGTGGTGTAAACTGGCCCACTGAACACTGTGGTGTAAACTGGCCCACTGAACACTGTGGTGTAAACTGGCCCACTGAATACTGTGGTCTAAACTGGCCCACTGAACACTGTGGTGTAAACTGGCCCACTGAACACTGTGGTCTAAACTGGCCCACTGAACAATGTGGTCTAAACTGACCCATTGAACACTGTGGTCTAAACTGGCACACTGAATACTGTGGTCTAAACTGGCCCACTGAACACTGTGGTCTAAACTGGCCCACTGAACAATGTGGTCTAAACTGACCCACTGAACACTGTGGTCTAAACTGGCACACTGAACACTGTGGTCTAAACTGGCCCACTGAACACTGTGGTCTAAACTGGCACACTGAATACTGTGGTCAAAACTGGCCAGCTATACACTGTGGTCTAAACTGGCCCACTGAACACTGTGGTCAAAACTGGCCAGCTATACACTGTGGTCTAAACTGACCCACTGAATACTGTGGTCAAAACTGGCCAGCTATACACTGTGGTCTAAACTGACCCACTGAATACTGTACACTGGCCCGCTGAACACTGTGGTCTAAACTGGCCCACTGAATACTGTGGTCTAAACTGGCCAACTGAATACTGTGGTCTAAACTGGCCAACTGAACACTGTGGTCTAAACTGGCCCACTGAATACTGTGGTCTAAACTGGCCCACTGATCACTGTGGTCTAAACTGGCCCACTGAACACTGTGGTCTAAACTGGCCCACTGAACACTGTGGTCTAAACTGGCCCACTGAACACTGTGGTCTAAACTGGCCCACTGAACACTGTGGTCTAAACTGGCCCACTGAACACGGTGGTCTAAACTGGCCCACTGAACACTGTGGTCTAAACTGGCCCACTGAACAATGTGGTCTAAACTGACCCACTGAACACTGTGGTCTAAACTGGCACACTGAATACTGTGGTGTAAACTGGCCCAGTGAACACTGTGGTGTAAACTGGCCGACTGAACACTATGGTGTAACCTGGCCCACTGAACACTGTGGTCTAAACTGGCCCACTGAACAATGTGGTCTAAACTGGCCCACTGAACACTGTGGTCTAAACTGGCCCACTGAACACTGTGGTCTAAACTGGCCCACTGAACACTGTGGTCTAAACTGGCCCACTGAACACTGTGGTCTAAACTGGCCCACTGAACACTGTGGTCTAAACTGGCCCACTGAACACGGTGGTCTAAACTGGCCCACTGAACACTGTGGTCTAAACTGGCCCACTGAACAATGTGGTCTAAACTGACCCACTGAACACTGTGGTCTAAACTGGCACACTGAATACTGTGGTCTAAACTGGCCCACTGAACACTGTGGTCTAAACTGGCCCACTGAACACTGTGGTCTAAACTGGCACACTGAATACTGTGGTCTAAACTGACCCACTGAACACTGTGGTCTAAACTGGCACACTGAATACTGTGGTCTAAACTGGCCCACTGAACACTGTGGTCTAAACTGGCCCACTGAACACTGTGGTCTAAACTGGCACACTGAATACTGTGGTGTAAACTGGCACACTGAATACTGTGGTCTAAACTGACCCACTGAATACTGTGGTCTAAACTGGCAAACTGAATACTGTGGTCTAAACTGGCCAACTGAACACTGTGGTCTAAACTGACCCACTGAATACTGTGGTCAAAACTGGCCAGCTATACACTGTGGTCTAAACTGACCCACTGAATACTGTACACTGGCCCGCTGAACACTGTGGTCTAAACTGGCCCACTGAATACTGTGGTCTAAACTGGCCAACTGAACACTGTGGTCTAAACTGGCCCACTGAATACTGTGGTCTAAACTGGCCCACTGATCACTGTGGTCTAAACTGGCCCACTGAACACTGTGGTCTAAACTGGCCCACTGAACACTGTGGTCTAAACTGGCCCACTTAACACTGTGGTCTAAACTGCCCACTGAACACTGTGGTCTAAACTGGCCCACTGAACACTGTGGTCTAAACTGGCCCCCTGAACACTGTGGTCTAAACTGGCCCACTGAAACTGTGGTCTAAACTGGCCCACTGAACACTGTGGTCTAAACTGGCCCAACTGAACACTGTGGTCTAAACTGGCCCACTGAACACTGTGGTCTAAACTGGCCACTGAATCACTGTGGTCTAAACTGGCCCACTGAACACTGTGGTCTAAACTGGGCCCACTGACACTGTGGTCTAAACTGGCCCACTGAACACTGTGGTCTAAACTGGCCCCTGAACACTGTGGTCTAAACTGGCCCACTGAATACTGTGGTCTAAACTGGCCACTGAACACTGTGGTCTAAACTGGCCCACTGACACTGTGGTCTAAACTGGCCCACTGAACACTGTGGTCTAAACTGCCCACTGAACACTGTGGTCTAAACTGGCCCACTGAACACTGTGGTCTAAACTGGCCCACTGAATACTGTGTCTAAACTGGCCCACTGAACACTGTGGTCTAAACTGGCCCACTGAACACTGTGGTCTAAACTGGCCCACTGACACTGTGGTCTAAACTGGCCCACTGAACACTGTGGTCTAAACTGGCACACTGAATACTGTGGTGTAAACTGGCCCATGAACACTGTGGTGTAAACTGGCCGACTGAACACTATGGTGTAAACCTGGCCCACTGAACACATGTGGTCTAAACTGGCTCACTGAACATGTGGTCTAAACTGGCCCACTGAACACCCGTGGTCTAAACTGGCCCATGAACACTGTGGTCTAAACTGGCCCACTGAACACTGTGGTTAAACTGGCCCACTGAACACTGTGGTCTAAACTGGCCCACTGAACACATGTGGTCTAAACTGGCCCACTGAACACGTGGTCTAAACTGGCCCACTGAACACTGTGGTCTAAACTGGCCCACTGAACAATGTGGTCTAAACTGACCCACTGAACACTGTGGTCTAAACTGGCACACTGAATACTGTGGTCTAAACTGGCCCACTGAACACTGTGGTCTAAACTGGCCCACTGAACAATGTGGTCTAAACTGGCGCACTGAATACTGTGGTCTAAACTGACCCACTGAACACTGTGGTCTAAACTGGCACACTGAATACTGTGGTCTAAACTGGCCCACTGAACACTGTGGTCTAAACTGGCCCACTGAACACTGTGGTGGTAAACTGGCACACTGAATACTGTGGTGTAAACTGGCACACTGAATACTGTGGTCTAAACTGACCCACTGAATACTGTGGTCTAAACTGGCAAACTGAATACTGTGGTCTAAACTGGCCAACTGAACACTGTGGTCTAAACTGACCCACTGAATACTGTGGTCAAAACTGGCCAGCTATACACTGTGGTCTAAACTGACCCACTGAATACTGTACACTGGCCCGCTGAACACTGTGGTCTAAACTGGCCCACTGAACACTGTGGTCTAAACTGGCCCACTGAACACTGTGGTCTAAACTGGCCCACTGAACACTGTGGTCTAAACTGGCCCACTGAACACTGTGGTCTAAACTGGCCCACTGAACACGGTGGTCTAAACTGGCCCACTGAACACTGTGGTCTAAACTGGCCCACTGAACAATGTGGTCTAAACTGACCCACTGAACACTGTGGTCTAAACTGGCACACTGAATACTGTGGTGTAAACTGGCCCAGTGAACACTGTGGTGTAAACTGGCCGACTGAACACTATGGTGTAACCTGGCCCACTGAACACTGTGGTCTAAACTGGCCCACTGAACAATGTGGTCTAAACTGGCCCACTGAACACTGTGGTCTAAACTGGCACACTGAATACTGTGGTGTAAACTGGCCAACTGAACAATGTGGTCTAAACTGGCACACTGAATACTGTGGTCTAAACTGGCCCACTGAACACGGTGGTCTAAACTGGCCCACTGATCACTGTGGTCTAAACTGGCCCACTGAACACTGTGGTCTAAACTGGCCCACTGAACACTGTGGTCTAAACTGGCCCACTGAACACTGTGGTCTAAACTGGCCCACTGAACACTGTGGTCTAAACTGGCCAACTGAACACTGTGGTCTAAACTGGCCCACTGAATACTGTGGTCTAAACTGGCCGACTGATCACTGTGGTCTAAACTGGCCCACTGAACACTGTGGTCTAAACTGGCACACTGAATACTGTGGTCTAAACTGACCCACTGAACACTGTGGTCTAAACTGGCACACTGAATACTGTGGTCTAAACTGGCCCACTGAACACTGTGGTCTAAACTGGCCCACTGAACACTGTGGTCTAAACTGGCACACTGAATACTGTGGTCTAAACTGGCACACTGAATACTGTGGTCTAAACTGACCCACTGAATACTGTGGTCTAAACTGGCAAACTGAATACTGTGGTCTAAACTGGCCAACTGAACACTGTGGTCTAAACTGACCCACTGAATACTGTGGTCAAAACTGGCCAGCTATACACTGTGGTCTAAACTGACCCACTGAATACTGTACACTGGCCCGCTGAACACTGTGGTCTAAACTGGCCCACTGAATACTGTGGTCTAAACTGGCCAACTGAACACTGTGGTCTAAACTGGCCCACTGAATACTGTGGTCTAAACTGGCCCACTGATCACTGTGGTCTAAACTGGCCCACTGAACACTGTGGTCTAAACTGGCCCACTGAACACTGTGGTCTAAACTGGCCCACTGAACACTGTGGTCTAAACTGGCCAACTGAACACTGTGGTCTAAACTGGCCCACTGAATACTGTGGTCTAAACTGGCCCACTGATCACTGTGGTCTAAACTGGCCCACTGAACACTGTGGTCTAAACTGGCCCACTGAACACTGTGGTCTAAACTGGCCAACTGAACACTGTGGTCTAAACTGGCCCACTGAACACTGTGGTCTAAACTGGCCCACTGATCACTGTGGTCTAAACTGGCCCACTGAACACTGTGGTCTAAACTGGCCCGCTGAACTCTGTGGTCTAAACTGGCCCACTGAATACTGTGGTCTAAACTGGCCAACTGAACACTGTGGTCTAAACTGGCCCACTGAATGCTGTGGTCTAAACTGGCCCACTGATCACTGTGGTCTAAACTGGCCCACTGAACACTGTGGTCTAAACTGGCCCACTGAACACTGTGGTCTAAACTGGCCAACTGAACTCTGTGGTCTAAACTGGCCAACTGAACACTGTGGTCTAAACTGGCCCACTGAATACTGTGGTCTAAACTGGCCCACTGATCACTGTGGTCTAAACTGGCCCACTGAACACTGTGGTCTAAACTGGCCCACTGAACACTGTGGTCTAAACTGGCCCACTGAACACTGTGGTCTAAACTGGCCCACTGAACACTGTGGTCTAAACTGGCCCACTGAACACTGTGGTCTAAACTGGCCCACTGAATACTGTGGTCTAAACTGGCCCACTGATCACTGTGGTCTAAACTGGCCCACTGAACACTGTGGTCTAAACTGGCCCACTGAACACTGTGGTCTAAACTGGCCCACTGAACACTGTGGTCTAAACTGGCCAACTGAACACTGTGGTCTAAACTGGCCCACTGAATACTGTGGTCTAAACTGGCCCACTGATCACTGTGGTCTAAACTGGCCCACTGAACACTGTGTTCTAAACTGGCCCACTGAACACTGTGGTCTAAACTGGCCAACTGAACACTGTGGTCTAAACTGGCCCACTGAACACTGTGGTCTAAACTGCCCACTGATCACTGTGGTCTAAACTGGCCCACTGAACACTGTGGTCTAAACTGGCCCGCTGAACACTGTGGTCTAAACTGGCCCACTGAATACTGTGGTCTAAACTGGCCAACTGAACACTGTGGTCTAAACTGGCCCACTGAATACTGTGGTCTAAACTGGCCCACTGATCACTGTGGTCTAAACTGGCCCACTGAACACTGTGGTCTAAACTGGCCCACTGAACACTGTGGTCTAAACTGGCCAACTGAACACTGTGGTCTAAACTGGCCAACTGAACACTGTGGTCTAAACTGGCCCACTGAATACTGTGGTCTAAACTGGCCCACTGATCACTGTGGTCTAAACTGGCCCACTGAACACTGTGGTCTAAACTGGCCCACTGAACACTGTGGTCTAAACTGGGCCCACTGAACACTGTGGTCTAAACTGGCCCACTGAACACTGTGGTCTAAACTGGCCCACTGAACACTGTGGTCTAAACTGGCCCACTGAACACTGTGGTCTAAACTGGCCCACTGAACACGGTGGTCTAAACTGGCCCACTGAACACTGTGGTCTAAACTGGCCCACTGAACAATGTGGTCTAAACTGACCCACTGAACACTGTGGTCTAAACTGGCACACTGAATACTGTGGTGTAAACTGGCCCAGTGAACACTGTGGTGTAAACTGGCCGACTGAACACTATGGTGTAACCTGGCCCACTGAACACTGTGGTCTAAACTGGCCCACTGAACAATGTGGTCTAAACTGGCCCACTGAACACTGTGGTCTAAACTGGCACACTGAATACTGTGGTGTAAACTGGCCAACTGAACAATGTGGTCTAAACTGGCACACTGAATACTGTGGTCTAAACTGGCCCACTGAACACGGTGGGTCTAAACTGGCCCACTGATCACTGTGGTCTAAACTGGCCCACTGAACACTGTGGTCTAAACTGGCCCACTGAACACTGTGGTCTAAACTGGCCCACTGAACACTGTGGTCTAAACTGGCCGACTGATCACTGTGGTCTAAACTGGCCCACTGAACACTGTGGTCTAAACTGGCACACTGAATACTGTGGTCTAAACTGACCCACTGAACACTGTGGTCTAAACTGGCACACTGAATACTGTGGTCTAAACTGGCCCACTGAACACTGTGGTCTAAACTGGCCCACTGAACACTGTGGTCTAAAACTGGCAAACTGAATACTGTGGTCTAAACTGGGCCAACTGAACACTGTGGTCTAAACTGACCCACTGAATATCTGGTGGTCAAAACTGGCCAGCTATACACTGTGGTCTAAACTGACCCACTGAATACTGTACACTGGCCCGCTGAACACTGTGGTCTAAACTGGCCCACTGAATACTGTGGTCTAAACTGGCCAACTGAACACTGTGGTCTAAAACTGGCCCCTGAATACTGTGGTCTAAACTGGCCCACTGATCACTGTGGTCTAAAACTGGCCCACTGAACACTGTGGTCTAAACTGGCCCACTGAACACTGTGGTCTAAACTGGCCCACTGAACACTGTGGTCTAACACTGGCCAACTGAACACTGTGGTCTAAACTGGCCCACTGAATACTGTGGTCTAAACTGGCCCACTGATCACTGTGGTCTAAACTGGCCCACTGAACACTGTGGGTCTAAACTGGCCCACTGAACACTGTGGTCTAAACTGGCCAACTGAACACTGTGGTCTAAACTGGCCCACTGAACACTGTGGTCTAAACTGGCCCACTGATTACTGTGGTCTAAAACTGGCCCACTGAACACTGTGGTCTAAACTGGCCCGCTGAACACTGTGGTCTAAACTGGCCCACTGAATACTGTGGTCTAAACTGGCCCAACTGAACACTGTGGTCTAAACTGGCCCACTGAATGCTGTGGTCTAAACTGGCCCACTGATCACTGTGGTCTAAACTGGCCCACTGAACACTGTGGTCTAAACTGGCCCACTGAACACTGTGGTCTAAACTGGCCAACTGAACTCTGTGGTCTAAACTGGCCAACTGAACACTGTGGTCTAAACTGGCCCACTGAATACTGTGGTCTAAACTGGCCCACTGATCACTGTGGTCTAAACTGGCCCACTGAACACTGTGGTCTAAACTGGCCCACTGAACACTGTGGTCTAAACTGGCCCACTGAACACTGTGGTCTAAACTGGCCCACTGAACACTGTGGTTTAAACTGGCCCACTGAACACTGTGGTCTAAACTGGCCCACTGAACACTGTGGTCTAAACTGGCCCACTGAACACGGTGGTCTAAACTGGCCCACTGATCACTGTAGTCTAAACTGGCCAACTGAACACTGTGGTCTAAACTGGCCCACTGAACACTGTGGTCTAAACTGGCCCACTGATCACTGTGGTCTGAACTGGCCCACTGAACACTGTGGTCTAAACTGGCCCACTGAACACTGTGGTCTAAACTGGCCCACTGAACACTGTGGTCTAAACTGGCCCACTGAACACTGTGGTCTAAACTGGCCCACTGAAAGCTGTGGTCTAAACTTGCCAACTGAACACTGTGGTCTAAACTGGCCGACTGAACACTGTGGTCTAAACTGGCCCACTGAACACTGTGGATGCGTCCCAAATGGCACCCTATTCCCTTTAGCCCTATGAGCCCTAGTTAACCCGATATCCCCATAGGGCCCTAGTCAACCCGATATCCCCATAGGGCCCTAGTCAACCCGATATCCCCATAGGGCCCTAGTCAACCCGATATCCCCATAGGGCCCTAGTCAACCCGATATCCCCATAGGGCCCTAGTCAACCCGATATCCCCATAGGGCCCTAGTCAACCCGATATCCCCATAGGGCCCTAGTCAACCCGATATCCCCATAGGGCCCTAGTCAACCCGATATCCCCATAGGGCCCTAGTTCAACCCGATATCCCCATAGGGCACCTAGTCAACCCGATATCCCCATAGGGCCCTAGTCAACCCGTTATCCGCATAGGGCCCTAGTCAACCCGATATCCCCATAGGGCCCTAGTCAACCCCGATATCCCCATAGGGCCTAGTCAACCTGAGATCCCCATAGGGCCCTAGTCAACCCGATATCCCCATAGGGCCCTAGTCAACCCGATATCCCCATAGGGCCCTAGTCAACCCCGATATCCCCATAGGGCCCTAGTTCAACCCCGATATCCCCATAGGGCCCTAGTCAACCCGATATCCCCATAGGGCCCTAGTCAACCCGATATCCCCATAGGGCCCTAGTCAACCCGTTATCCCCATAGGGCCCTAGTCAACCCGATATCCCCATAGGGCCCTAGTCAACCTGATATCCCCATAGGGCCCTAGTCAACCCGATATCCCCATAGGGCCCTAGTCAACCCGATATCCCCATAGGGCCCCCGACCCCTAGTCAACCCAATATCCCCATAGGGCCCTAGTCAACCCGATATCCCCATAGGGCCCTAGTCAACCCGATATCCCCACAGGGCCCTAGTCAACCCGATATCCCATAGGGCCCTGTCAACCCGATATCCCATAGGGCCCTAGTCAACCCGATATCCCCATAGGGCCCTAGTCAACCCGATATCCCCATAGGCCCTAGGGCAACCCGATTTTCCCCATAGGGCCCTAGTTCAACCCGATACCCCATAGGGCCTAGTCAACCCGATATCCCCATAGGGCCCTAGTCAACCCGATATCCCCATAGGGCCCTAGTCAACCCGATATCCCCCACAGGGCCCTAGTCAACCCCGATATCCCCATAGGGCCCTGGTCAACCCGATATCCCCACAGGGCCCTAGTCAACCCAGGCCATCCCCAAACCCCATAGGGCCCCCCCCTAGTCAACCGATATCCCCAGGGGCCTAGTCAACCCGTATCCCTCCCAACCCAATAGGGCCCTAGTAACCTTTGATATCCCCATAGGGCCCTGTCAAGTTCCCAGCCTATTAGTATCACATGTGCCA